TTTTTGGAATTGGTGCATTATATGACATTTCAGACTCATAGCCAACAATAACAAATCTTTGTTGCTGACTATGATTCGTGGAAAATGAGCAATCTGTAAATAGAGAAACTCACTCAAATAAATATGACAATATCAGTCAGTCAGTAGTTTATTTACAAAAGCTAATATGCTTGTTTTTATAAACTCAACCTATTGAAGGGGTTATATGCAGGGATATACAGGTCCATATTTTGGTGCATTAATACTTTCAAATACAGACTATCGTATATATTTTAATTTGGGTCATGTATGACAGGGAAAATTGCAGAATTGATTTTGAATTTATAGTTTTGATAGTTAGTGCAGAATATTGGGATGAGTACTGTTTAGAAGGATTTTCTATTTTCACAATGGCAGAAGTTGAATTAAATTTATTTTATGTCTGACAGCAAATACTTGATTACGGTAATATTCTAATGAAATTATTATAAATTTTTCCTAAAATCTCATATTTATCATTTTCAATATTACTAATTTTGAATTATTCGAATATTGGTTTTGTTCTGGGCATTTCTGATCCAAGGATAGGATAACATTCATTTGGACATTCAGTAGCAGAAAGTCTCTAGTATGTAGTGTTATTTGTTTTTTTATGGCTTTCATAAGTTAAACTTTCTTTATATCTTGTCTGACTATTTAACCCTTTCCATGCGATTTTTATTTTTCTATTAAATAATCGTATTTGCTACGCCGATTTTATGCATTTGTACCCCCACAACTAATCGATAGACTAACGAAAAACTAATGATCCTCTGCTGCCCACTGACGGCTCGTTGGAAAGCTTATTTAAAGAGCTTGCAATTGGCGATTAAAAAAAAAATTTTTTTTGAAAGTGGTGGTCTGAGTCACAAACCGGATAGAAAAAAGGCATTTTTTTTTCTTGGGAGTTGAAACTTCAAACCGTGATAAAAAATAGAAATATTTGCTAAATCCTTTACTGTTACCGCTTCGTGGTTGGCAAACAATAGCATAATATTGCTGTAGCAATTTCGTGATCCAACTCAAAATACTTTGGTAGATGGAAGGAATAATATGTCTTCTATTACCACCCAAAAAACACCGAAATTTGCATAAATTTCAAAAACACTCCCTCGTTCCGCCGCAAATAAAATTCCCGTCGTAAACGAAAGCGAGATTTACCGTCGCTTATGTTAATCTCGAAGAAGACTTCTTATGAATAAACTAAAACCTGGAAAAACTAGACCAACAGTTTGCGACCGATTGCTAAATAAACCAGTGGAGTACATCAACGTACCCGCCGCAATCTAGCAACTTTTGTCGTGGGTACGTATACGTGGCCACCGCACGGAAAGGGTTAATAACAATATAAGAAGCAATTGAATTATATAAAAGCCATATTATCTGGTGTCAACGGAATTTGAAGAGTTTATATGAAAATACATCGATAGTTAGGATTGTCTGGCACGGGGGTTCTTATTAAGCCGCGTACCTCCTTTCAAAAATAACAAGCTAACAAAATCTACAAATAACAGAAAGTAAGGCAATAGTAATATAACAGAGAGAGGTGATGTTCATTTCAATTCTGTATTTTTACAGTCATGTCATGAGTCATGATTGATCACCATATATCAAATGTTTATATTGTCAAATATATTATATTATCTATGAAATATCTTTCTGAATTTATATATTAACTATATTGAATAGAATCATTTCAGATGTATTAGAACAGGGTGGTCCAAGGTTGCGAGGTTGGCGGGCCGCAAAAACTTTTGAGGAGGTCTCGCGGGTAGGGCTGGGAAATGTTAACCGGTTAATCGATTTCAGATAGTTAACGGTTACGATTTATTTTAACTGTTAACTGACATCTCAGGTACAAATCAACCTCATAACGTACAATTCTTCTAAAAATGTTTACGCCATCGCAAATTTATCTCCCAGGGCCTCTAATTCAAAAGAATAAAAGAATATCAATAACTGTATTAGTAAGGACCTAATAAATGTAAAAAATATTTGAAATACGAAGATTGCTGATTATAAAAATTTGACATTAATTAATTATTAATCAGTTTTCGTTCGAAAAATATTCAATGTCGACCAACAAGTATGTAGTTATGTATTTTATATATTTCATTTTATATGTATTTTTTTTATCCATATCACAAAGTAGAATTTTCGCATCGAACACTGAAAATTTGACACATAAATGACATTTAATACCGGAATCAGGTGTCACTAAAATACTTCCATATGTCCTAACCACGCTGCATATTTCTTGCTGTAGAGCGATCATGAAACTATCTTGATTCGTGAATAATTTTGTGCGATACCGATATAAGACCCGATGCGATACCGATATAATACCCGAAATTGCTCTTGGAAGCATTGTGACGTAAAAAGCTAAATTCTAAATTATTTCGTGAAACGTCATGCTGCGGTTAACCGGTTAATTTTAACTGGTTAACGGTTAAAGTGTTTTCCTCGAAATTCTCAACCCTACTCGCGGGCCACTTTCAGAGAAAACTCAAACGAGATCAAAACATCGCGAGTTTACTACGTTTACTGTTCTAATCAGTTTTTGAAGAAAGTCATATAAAGCCCAAAGCCTTCATTTATTTTAAATTGGCTTCCCGAGAAATACCGTGATATTTTCGGTATTTTTTCTCTCGTTTGATTTTGTACTGTCGCCTAAAATAACATTCTTTCGGTCATCTTTTTAGTACACTCATTATATGATGAATTGTTATATTTGACTGATTTTATTACTTGTAGCGTGAGCAGGCCTGGTGCTATCGTCAAAATAGAACCATTTCTTTCTAAGTTGGGACCTCGGGCCCAGCTAAAAAAACTAGTTTGTGCGGCGCTTAATCAGCTTTGCGGTTCGTCACTGCTGTCACATTTCCAGCGTTTGGAAATAGAGGAGTGATTGTACTAAAATAAATCCACAAAACGTCTCTCTCTCCAAATGGGGAGTTACTTGCGGGTCTCATCGGCTTGGTCATGTCTGCACAAGACAATTCATTCTCCTTGTACCGATCACAGGAAGTCATTTTCATGTTGGCACCGTCTTGAGATTCATAGATACAACAGTGAAATTCCATGATTTCAACACAATCCCGAAATCGGGATTAGACAAAGGGACAATATTACCAGTTGAAATAGTTTAAAAATGACTCAAAAATGTTTTGTCAATAAATACAAATATTTGTCAATGGTTTAGTGCACGCCAAAATTGTTCTGTGGGTTTCACAAAATGTTTCTGCTCTTTTTTGACCACCTTGAACATTCGATTTGTTTTGTTGAATTATGAAAAATGAATTTTGTTCTATTTAGTTTTTTATTATGGTTTTCAGAATTTGAACAACGTGGCTGGTATCTTGTTTGACTATCTAATAACAATTTCATTAATCGGAGATGAATCTGAACTATATTATGATCAGGTAGCACAGGTTAGATGTAAAAAAATTAGGAAATTCATATGAGAAACTATTTATAGTTAGGTTTGTACATTGTTAAATTTGAGTAAATGTTTGTACAGCGCTTTGTTCGTGAAATGTGTATAAAGCGTTGTACAACAATGTAGAGTAATGTAACACCTTCATATTGTAATTTCATGAGGTTCTGCTGTGTGATAAAAGGTGAAATAGTTTTCCCCACCTAAACCCATATATAGCGATTGGTAATTTAATGCCGTGCACTCGCAGACCTGTTCAAACCGGTTTTAACTGGTTTCATCTTGTGAAAACAAACAAACCCGCGATACGTATAGTTACTTTAAGACCAGTTCAAACCGGTTTTTTCCTTGTTGTGGGCGTGCTCGCTGGAGCATGACGCTAAGTTGATCTAGTTAGTCAATACTTTATTTACTGAATCTTCCGTTCTCGCATACTTTTTAGTTTCCAAATTGTTTTTAATTATTTATGCTGATTTACTTCTGTATTGTTTGACTTAATCTGCTTCTATAATGGTGTCGCTGACATGATGACTTTTAATAGTCTTTTCGTGACCCCTCGTCCATTGCAGTTCAAATATTGTACTTTTTTCTTTCAATGAATTTATTCAATTTTTACCATTTGTTTATATGTACAATGTTTTTGCACGACGAAAAACAAATATCTGAATCTGGTTTTAACTGGTTTCATCTTGTGATAGCAAACAAACCTGTGATACGTAAAGTTACTTTACGTAATGGCTCTATATTTACATATGATAAAGTAAAAGCTGTTTGTTGGCTTATTGATATATTACTATAAAAAGAAAGTGTAAAATTCAAAATTTTTCAAGTTATCATATTAGTTACTTCCTCTAACCTCAGCTCAGAAATAAAATAAAAAATAGTTGATTTTCATTTATAACTGTCATGACACAGAACTATATATCTTAAAGACTAATATATCTCTCGCCATTGAAATACAGTAACACTGTTTTTTCAGATGCAAGTGAGATATAGTCCAAAATAATGCTAGAACAAAAAGTATAAATTGCTTCTCAATTAAATTCTGGGTGGTTTTCAAGAACTTTTGCATTAGTGGGGGCTTTGTATAAAAGATCCATTTTAAACAGTATGAGGCAAAAAAAATATTGTCAAAATTCCTAAATTTCATACCTGAAATGCCTGGTTGGTATCAAATGAAATTCAATGCTCAGGATATTTTAAACTATCGGTAAATACTGTCTAAAGATTGTAATAAATTTGGGCTACAATTTTGCTTTTTTTTTCAAATTTTAATCAAGCAGTGCAGTGGGTACTGGTAACTTTGAAAATTGAATAGGATTCATGTTGAATCCTCATGCCTTTTTTGATTTTCATGCTCAGTCAAATGCTATTTCTCCAACTCTGCTAATCTCTAGAGAAAAGTTACAGATGACCACTAATGATGGCCCAATGCTAATAACATAAAATATCAGTTACTCAGTAACAAGTTCACACATTCATGTCTTTGTGACTTACCAGCTGATCTAAATGACGTTTTTTTTTTATCTACTGTTTTTAGCTAAAACAAGTAGGATTTAAGTCAAAGAAATGCTTCATCGTCAACATGGATAAACATCCAGAAGTGAGCGGTTTCTCCGACCCAACCCCTGGTCAAGCTTCAAGTTCTCAGAGTGGAGATGCACCACCAACATCTCACATTAACATCTACACAGGAACAGAACCTAAAGGTAATTGAATTTATTTTAAACTTGGCCAAGGACATGTAAAATACGTCCCTACCTACAAAGGGTCTTCCGGAGCAAATTAATTTTGTAGGTGGAATTTCTACCGTATAAGGTGGCAAATTATCCACATGTAACGATCCGAGTTTTGTGAAAATAGGCCATCGTATTCTTTACTTATTGCACTGTTGTCATTGGTAATGGACGTTGCAATCCTAATTATACCGCAAAAGTGTGTCAAAAAGGAAAATTCTAAATGCAACATTGACTTCAATATTTGTCTGGGTCTTATTTAATGACATCTGTATAGTTTTAGTTGTTTAGTCCTCTAGTCTCAATTCCACTAACATCCACCAGTGTTCACTATTAGCGCACTTTTTTGCGAACAGTGAGAAGCACTTTCGCATTTTTTTCAGGGACTGTGAAATAGCACTTTTTTTCAATTTTGAAGGGCAAAAATTCAAAGTTTACAAATATTTTTGGCGAGTATGAAGTTGACAAATAAGTTGCGTACTTGGCTAACCTATTGTGTACACCTTCTCACTTTAACTATTTAGGTAAATTTATACTCCCCCTAACCTACTGTGAACACCCCCTCACTCTTAGTATTTAGAGTTAAATTTTTACTCACCTTGACTTACTGTGAACACTCCCTCACTTTAAGTATTTAGTTAAATTTTTATTCACCCTAACTTACTGTGAGTTTGTTGATAGGTATCTGTCTGTCTGTTAGATGCACGCGGTATCTCACGAAAGCGAGGTTGAATCTGCTCCAAATGTTGCATGTGCATTCATCATATCTCGGACCAGAAGCCTATTGACTTTGGATGAATTATGTCATATAATTAGCGAGTTATTAATTAATTAGTGATGGGACACGCGGTGTCACTATAGAGTCATGAATCGAAACCGCAGTTTCGATCGATAAGTCTTCGGTCTCCGACCGATATTCTCGACTAATTATTGATTAGTCGAAAAATAAATTTTTATATTTATTCGTTGTATTTCTTGGGTATTAAATATAAAATGTTTTAGCCATAAATTATAGCAACGATTGGGGCTGTGGATTTGGATTCATGGTTTGGTTAGCATGAACGTTTCTATCGAGCCTTAGTTAGTAATTAGTAGTTTATTTCTCCAGCATGCTTGGATACGCAGTGGGCATACACAAAGTAATAGAACCATCATAAAAATCAAAAAAGGTTGGATTGCAAAAACTGATTTTATAATTTTTATTGAAGAAACCTTTTTTTTTTCATTTTCAGAAACCAGCATTACCGGGGCTGTCGTTCAAGATATGAGCATAGAAAGTGCGAAAGATGTTTCGGTGATCTCAGAACATACAGAAATAGCCTCGCAAAAGGCAACTGTCCAAACAGTAGAGGCAACTCTCTCTGCAGCAGAAGCTCATATCTCAGCAGAGACTTTGCAACAAATCAACATAACTGGTATGATTGTTTCAAAGTTTCCTACATATTTTACAGAATATGGTTCTAAACCAGTGCTTCGCCACCTTTTTTTATATGTTTTTTTCCATTTTTTAATTTCTTTAGTAGTCCCTCCCTATTCATGAAAATTCTTGTTTCCGTCATTTCAACAGATATTCAGCTAATGCAACTTGCACTTTGGATTTTGCATGGTTCGAATAGTAGAAAAATTATGAATAAATATGTATGCATTGCAATAATCTTGAAAATTGAACAATGCTACTAAAATTGCACTAAATTTCCGTTTTTTTTATCTGGAAAAAATGCTGGTTTAATCTATCGTGTTCTCATGTTTAAACTAGTTTTATTCAATGACTCAGAACTTCTTCTATTTCTGGAAAATTAACCAAAGTAATCTTATCCCCTAGAAGTTTTCTTGTCTAATTATTGATTAGTCGGAAAATAAATTTTTATTTCTTGAATTTCTAGAGTACTTATTAAATTATTTCTAGTACTTGTAAAATGTACTAGCCATAAATTATAGCAAATATCAGGGCTGTAGATTCGGAGTCATGGTTTGGTTGGAATGAACGTTTCTACCGAGCCTTAGTTAGTAATTAGTAGTTTATTTCTCCAGCATGCTTGGATACACAGTAGACATACACAAAGTAATAGAACCATAAAATTCGAAAAGTTATTTTGTAACTTTATTAATGAATTCTGTTCTTTCATTTCCAGAAACCAGCATTATCGGGGCTGTCGTTCAAGATATGAGCATAGAAAGTGCGAAAGATGTTTCGGTGATCTCAGAACATACAGAAATAGCCTCTCAAAAGGCAACTGTCCAAACAGTAGAGGCATCTCTCTCTGCAGCAGAAGCTCATATCTCAGCAGAGACTTTGCAACAAATCAACATAACTGGTATGACTGTTTAAAACTTTTCCAAATCTTCAACAAAAAAAAGTTCTAAACCAGTAATTTGCCACTTTTTTTGATATATTCCTTCTTTTGAATATTACCTGTTGCCTATTTATGGAAATATTCAAACCTAAAATTATCTAAATACAAAGTAACATTCCTTTTTTTCTCCATGTCAAAAAAACTCCTCCTTGGTTGGGAAACACTGATCTAATTTATCGTGCTTCCATATTTCAATATTTGGTTAAATTTTTACTCACCCTAACCTACAGTGAACACCCCCTCACTCTTAGTATTTAGAGTTAAATTTTTACTCACCCTAACCTACTGTGTAAACTTCCTCACTTTCAGTATTTGGTTCAATTGCTACTCACCTTGAATTACTGTGAACACTCCCTCACTTTCAGTAATTAGTTGAATTTTTACTCACCCTAACCTACTGTGAACACTCCCTCACTTTCAGTAATTAGTTAAATGTTTACTCACCCTAACTTCCGGTGAACACTCCCTCGCTTTAAGTATTTAGTTAAACTTTCACTCACCCTAACCTACTGTGAACACCCCCTCACTTTAGGTATTTTAAGTTACATTTTTACTCAACTTGACCTAGTGTGAACACCCCCTCACTCTTAGTATTCAAAGTTACATTTTTACTCACCTTGGTCTGCTGTGAACATCGCCTCACTTTAAGTATTTAGATAAATTATTACCCACCTTAACCTACAGTGAACACTCCCTCACTTTAGGTATTTAGTTAAATTTTTACTCACCTTGACCTACTTTGTACACCCCCTCACTTTGAATATTCAGTTAAATTTTTACTCACCCTAACCAGGTACTAGTACTTTTGTAATCCGATTTTGCATTATTAAACGATATTTGCTGGAATTCTAACCTGTGTGGTTCAGACATGAAAGATAAAGCTTTTGCATTAACAGCAAAATTCTTGTTTATAATATGATTATTGTACAAGCACGCCGATTCCCCTTCTCCCGCAAAAACGCTCGGTGGCGTCTTCGAAACCAGATTTTGGAATACTATGCACTGCGTTTATTTGCGGTACGATTTTCTAGTGCTGGTTTGACATGTCTTTGTTCCCTTCTTAGTGAATTTATTGGAGCCATTCAGAAAGTTATGATACCCGATTGGGCCATTATTTTTTAAATTAGAAGAAACTTTGAGCAGCATCTCACAGATTTGCAAAATCACCAAATTCACAAAATACATAGGTCGTATTAACAACCATTTTATTGTAACTACGAATGTTAAAAGCACGCGGCATTTCCAGAAATTTCGAGATATTTAATATTATCTAGTCATCCACGATAAATCAAACTCAGACCAGGGTCAAAAATCAAACGCAACTATTTCTCATTGATATGCGAGTAGGGGTGGGCAAATCGAATATTTTTTAACACAGTAGAAATCTAAAAATCGGCAACAAAGCCTTTTTACTGGTTGATTTCGTTATAATCGCTAATTGTTTTTGTCACCGCCATCGTTTTGGCGGCATTATCTTGGATTTGGCAATCTATATCTCCGCCCTTTCCCTTTTTTGCAGGTATGAATTCTTGCGGGTCGGCTGACATCCCAGTTTTATATTTTGGGTTTACCTGTGCGTTCACATGGCAATAGCTGTTAAAAGACATTTAAGGACTAATTTCAAAACCCAAATTAACATTTGCGTTGGCTTTGATATATTTTTATGTAATATTATTATCAATACCGGAATGCAGATATTTATTAAGTCGATAATTAACTTTTTTATTCTTCTCTACGGTGTCTGTATTATTGCACAGATAAACCTCGCAAATCTGCAAATGTGTCAATCCTGAATGTTGATTTAACATAGTGATTAAATAATTCGGCATTTTCAACAAAACAATACTCCGGCGATAATAACAGCTGAAATATTACGCAGTAACTCACAATTTTATTTACAAAATTTGCAAATTCACCTTTTTTTGACGATTTTGATAATGTCACGCCCTAATTATTAGTGCCAAAATACTCAAAATATAACGAATGTAATCATTTCTGATGACAATAGGCGCAATTCCTGACCGAGACAGTGTGCGTTGTTACATCGAAATTCACGATTGATTTTCGTTCTACTCTTGTTCACGATTTTAACACTTCCCCCTGCAATGCATGACTGAGTAGAAGGTTCTAATTTCGAAACATCACATGGTCAAGGATGGAAGGGATCACTAAAAATCTAATTCAAAGTTAAAAGGACTATGACCTGCCATTTCTTTTTTGGTTATAGCCTGTACGTGGGATACCATGTATGGTTGGTCTCTCGGAAACGTCAATTCAACTTTTATATGCGAGGGTATGATTTCAATGCAAAGAATATTTGTGAGCATATCACGGGACAGAAATAATGATTCGCCAAAGTTGATTGATTGAGTATTTATTTGGCAAACATCGGGGTTTTGGCGGAAATGTACGATCATGTTGTCTTTCTTAAATAATAACTTTTTCAATGAATGTTTACTTTACTCCTGTGTATTAATAATGATATGTTGGGTTTTCATTTATTTTAAATTCGAAATTGTCCGGAATAATCAAAGAAGTGTATGAGTATAATAATAATATGAAGTTGACAAATAAATTGCGTACTAGTACTTTTGTAACCCAATTTTGTATTACATAACGATATTTGCTGGAATTCTAACCCATGTAGTGCAGACATGGGAGATAGAACTTTTGCAGTAACGGAAAAATTCTTGTCTATAATATGATTATTATACAAGCACACCGATTCCGCTTCTCCCGCAAAAACGCTTAGCGGCCCAAAAACGCTTACGCACAGTCTCTGCTATATTTGACAGGCGGTAGCACAAGATTCAGCAGCAAATAATAAGCAAAATTATTTATAATCATGGGTTTATATATAAAGATTTGCTAATTATGGCAGGTTATAAAGAATATGGCCTGAAATATATAAATGTCAGAATGATATTCATTTTTCAGTCGACGAAGACCCTCAATAATAACGATTGCCGAAATCGAGAAAAAAATTAATATGAATTGTCGATTGTGATCCAATGACCGAGAGGGCACATAATTTTTTCTCTGTTCAAAGCTGATATAAAACGAAAGTGTTTGCCGATTATTTAATTGACTTTGTATACCAGCTGTTATTTGTCTTAATCCTAAAAACAAAAACGTGGCCAGTGCAATGAAGCACTCCCTGCCCGATAACGGCACTTCAGAAAGAAAACGGCTACCACGAAATAAAGTGATTGATTTATGACCCTTCCGTTTTGCTGATTCAGGAAAAAACGGAAAACACAGCTCTTGCCTAACCCATGGACGTACAGCACAGTATTTATCACACCATATTCATATGTTATTTCATATTCATATGATTGAAATTACAGTTTTATTGTTAAGAATTAATGCTGTGAGTATTATTCTACCTGAAACTTCTATCTGATTCTTAATTGTGCACAAATGATAACGTTTTGACCACGAGACGGCTGGTAGATCAATGCTGTTGCTCTTATGCAAAAGATGCAATCAAATTTAATCAAATACAAGCCGTCACGTTTATGATCAGACAATCACACCTAGACAAGCGATCGCGTGTGTGCGTGCACGCTCTTCATCGTGAGAATTAAGCATGGTTTGTAGCTGTTGCAATTACTGGCAAGTCAGCATGATATCATTTCGCTGCGTGATCAAAGTCTCGATGCGCGAAGGAGCCGATTTTTTGGTGCTATCTGAGTCATGCGCAAATAAGACGGTTCCTTAGTTGGGCAACTTTTTTTTTTGAGTTTTAAACTCGGCGTATTTGCGAATAAATACGGTATATATCGCAACAGGATGTCTGATATCTGAGAATGCGTATCTTATCCTTCAACTTTAATTTTCAGGATTTCGTGCGTTGATGCGGTCGAATAAAAATTATTTATCAAATGGATTGTTATTTCGCGACACACTCAAAATTATTTGGGAACCAGTATCATATCTTTTATATTCATGTTTTTTTCGAGAATCATCCTCGTTGTATTTCGTGACCTTTTTAAAAAAAAAACTCTTTGTTGTCCCTATTAGTGTAATTATAATTTATGGAAACGTCGCAAGTGGCGTTAAGATCCGAATATTTTATACTGGGTTTGCAGCATTAGAGAGAGTGCTATTTATGAATGCTGAAAGTACATGGGATTCCTGAAAATTTTGCCAATATATGATGTTTTCCACCCGATTTAAACCAACTCGCACGCAAAGTAATGCCGACATTTAAAAATTACATGTCTTTGCGTAATCTCTGAGATAGTATAATATAAGTGTAAATTAGGTCAAGTTAGCTCATGAAAGGGGGGAGGATTTTCTAGTGATCTTACATAATATTTCGGAGAAAAAAATCTTCGGATAGAAAGTAGGTCAACCTATCTCTCAAAACAGCGGGACTTTCATAGTGATCTTGCGTAATTCAGAGAAACATGCCGTCAACCCATTTCTTAATAGGGGAGAGGGGGGACTACCTACAAGCATTTTCTTTCGGATGAGAAAGTATGTTATACTAAAGCGATATCGGTGAAGGGGATGTTATTTTGCACAGGATTTGTACAAATGACCCCTTTCCCTAGCTATGGCGGTAGTAACTAATATCATTTCTAACCTGCAAGTATCAATTGTTGTCTGTTAGATGGAAGGAGTAACACAAACGTGCAAGGCCTTGCTGTTCACGCAAAGGAGTACGTTTCGCTACTGACAAGGGTGGTTGATTGGACAAAATTTTGTACGCGACAGGTGTGCTTGGCAGGTGTCGTTTTGTTACCGATGAATTCGCTTGTTTCAAACAAAGGTTTAAACTAAACTCTGTTAACGAAAAGGCTCCTCTTTAATTAGCAATATTGACTGAAGGAGGGTATTTTCATGTATATATGCAATTTGAAATGAGTTGAAACAAAAGCTAGACACCTAACTAGTTAAAATCGGCAAAAGCACTTTCGCACTTTTTTTTTAACTGCGAAGCACTTTCGCACTCATAATTTCGTTAGAGTTAACACTAGGGATGCAACGAATCTAAATAGTTTTGGCTCGGTCGAATCCGAGTATTTGTGCTGAACTCGTGTCCAAGTCCCAAGTCCATACTTTTACATTAGCTCCGAAATAAATACCCAGAGTGATGCGCTGTTGTTCGCGTATATTGGCCATAAATTAAACACTTTTTAAAATGAGACTATGATACCGGTAATTCAAAGCCTTGCACATAAACACTGTTGCTCCGGGTCAATCATCTTTCCTAGTTGGTGCTGATAATGATAAATAACAATGGGCAATTATTGATTGCAATTCAGAAAAGCGTATTTACCTTTCTCTCCACAAATCAGATAATAAACAAATTCAATCGTCGTTAAGGGCGCTCAAAAGGAGAGAAGGACTCTCTTTTTCCGACGCAATCACTTTTAACAATACAAATCACTCCGCATTGAAAAGCATAATAAAATTTATTAACATTAATTTACAACGAATTACGAGTAAGAATTTACATACGGCTCTCGCTATCAGACACAAACGATAAATGTGAGAAATCTTGTGTTGTTGTTTTTTGTTTTCTTCTTGCGACTATAATATCTTTTCAATTTCATAATTTCCTTAGAGTTAACACTGATCCACACAACAGAGTAATATTTATTGTATTCAGGTAAACCATCATCAAGTCATCTCCATTTCAATCTCCAAAAATCAACTAAAGCAGGGGCTCAAGAACCTCCTCAACTTGTCGACCCCGTATATGAAGTGATACCCGAATCACCAGGTACAGTAATAATATTTGATAGTAACATTTGAATTCACGTTTTTGATGGTATAATAAGGAATGTTTTGTGGCTCATTTGGTTTTTATTTCAATCTTTCTGGTAATCTAACATATAACAACACGTGCATTTCACCAAATTAAACCGATGATAAACATTGTATGCTGGAATAAATAGCTTGTTGTCTACTATGTTGTTGTTGATCAGTGCCCTTTTGACTTATCATAATTTTATTTCATTTTGAGTGCTTCTGAAGTGTGAGTGCTTCATACGACCCTTGCCACATATACCCAGCTTCAAAAGATTTTCCATTTTTCAAGAACTGTAAAATATCAAGCAATTGTTTGTGTTTTATTATATTGAAACAGTCATCAAAAATGTTTGGCAGTGATGGCTCCCTATTAGGTTTCTGCTTATTATTTATCGTTAATTGTATTTTCAGGTTTCATCAAGCGAGCAGCCGGAAGAGTTTTCAAAGGTAATAAAGCCATTTTAGGAAGTAGAATGTTACTTATTTTTATTCAACTTGATCAGTTTCTAATGAGGCAGATTCACACTCTAACTTCTGAAAGTAATTCTATTTCTACAAGCGGCTACTGGCGCTTGGGACTAGAGCTCAACTGGCATCACCTCTTGGCAGTTGGCACCGATACACCAATGACTGATTACCGATATCTATCTATTCGTACAATTGTTTGACACAATGAGTCAAAACAAAAAAAAATGTAGTGACACTGTGGGCCGGACCATCGAACAACATTAGCAAGTTGAACTGAAAAGTGCTTCCACGAATACGGCTTTTCATTCCAGTCGGACTTTGTCACGTAGCCCCAAAAGTGACATGACAAATTAGAAAAAGAAAAAAAAAATCGGATGCCAAGTCTCTTTCAAGCCACGTAAATAGGTTCTGGGCTGTAGGGCTGTTTGTAGCACCCCTATCATCTATGCCAAAATCTTTTATAAAAGGGTAATTTTGGGTAGAGGGTTAATGTCAAAGGCCCAGCCTGGATTTTGCTAATGGGGGGGTTACGGTGAAATTGAAACATTGCACCAAAAGTGCAATTCACGACGACGTAATTCGTTTAATAAACTAAAATTTATGGTTGTTCACAGCGAAATTCCACAGTTACTTACAGCCCGCCTCTCTTTGCCTGACAGTGTTTGGTTAATATTTTGCAAGTCCCAATTCAAACATCGACCATTAATCCGTAGTCGGGTACCCGCATTTAGAAATGAAACATTAAAAATCGCGAAAATTAATTTTGGAGAAAACTACAACTCACATATGTCAGTAGCGTCATAATAGTTTATATGTACAAAAACACGGTCGCATGTAGCGCCGATCAAATTCATGAAATGTGAAACTATTACTTGGAATTTTTTGATAATGAAGTTGATTTTTTATTGCCATTCAATGATTATTTACATGCGCCATGATTAGTGGCGGGCAAAATCGCATTTTTTAATCGAGTAATTCGAATATTTTTAACGAACACCAAATAATGAGTATTGCCATTTTAAACAACATTAATTGGGATGTCGGCCGCCGAAACGATCGCCGTGACAATAAATTTTTTTTTTCGGATTTGCCTAGAAGACTGAAAACTATGTAACAATGCGGCATTTTTTATTTCATAATTTTGTCATAATCGAAGGCTGCAGTAAATTCTTTGTCACCGCGGTCGTTTCGGCGGCCGACATTTCAATAAATGTTGTCAAACTATATTAAAGCACTTTTTCATTCACTAGCAAATATTAATTTTCACGTAATGGCGGATATCGTAGTTTGGTTTTTATATTTCGGACAGAAATGTGAGTTCGCATCGGCAAAGAAGTTAAAGGCAACTATTAAGTAGGGCATTCACAACACAAATTAATTTTATTCTGATTTTTATCTTCTGTGTAGGATTTGTATCACAGTTTGTAAATTACGGTCCCAATTTTAAGCGAACAATATCATTATTACCGACCTCGGGATGCGATATTTGTGAAGCGAATAGTTGACATTTCTAATCTTTTAATTTTAGATCATATCCGTGTTACTTTCGAATTAAATAATAATTAAAAACTCTGTAAATTGGTAATCTATTGCGGTGGTTCCCAACCACCGGTCCGCGGACCGGTGCCGGTCTGTGAAGCCTTTGTGCCGGTCCGCGAGAAATTTCGTTGTTTTTATGCCCTCTCAATCGCTTCACGGAAGACGAGTCTGCGTTGGTTTTTTACTCAATTTCTCTTCCGCCGTCATATTGTGACGTCTTTTGCGGCATCTTGGCGACGTATGTCGCGACATCTTGACGCAGAGTAATCACACTTTTCGCTTTTTTCAGATCCGATTCATCGCGAATGTTCTTCATCAAATCTCGCAAAATTCAGAAACTTAAAATCGGCACACATGCTTTTTCTGTGCTTCGCGATTATTCTGATTAATATGACAATCCATATAAAAGGTTGTGCATATTTCTTTGTTCCAACCTGAAAACAGTCAAGGACAGTACAATATTCCAGTACAATATGAAGTTGTTGCGACCCTGCAGGTGACCACAAGATGCGCAAAAATTGAAGGGGCCGCTGAGATTTTTTCCAGTACTTTGAGCAGACACAGTAGGATTTTGAGCTTGATGCAAGTTTACTGACGACTTTGTAATTGTAATGTAAATTAATTTCGTTTGTGGCGTCGATCAACTGCATAGGGATTAATATTATAAACAGAATGAAAAAGAAAACGCTTGATTAAAATTGTGATTCTACTTTACAGTCCAGATTTAAAAAAAGAATCACTGTCACAATTTTGGATATCTTTTGATAACGAATACCCATCGCTAAGTAATCGAGCAATCAAACTGTTGTCCGTATATTCAACCAATTTGTTTATGCGCTATGCGAAAAAACAATTTCATCACTAGCTTCAACTAAAACGAAGCAAAGAAATCTGCTGCACGCCGCTTCAGAGATACGTGTTGCAGAAACTTCTTCGAGGCCTCGTTTGCAATGTTGTATTGGAAACGGAGCAGCAGCAAAATTCTCACTAGAGTTAATTGTGTTTGTACATGATTTGGCGTGCACATGTTTTTTATACGAGATGTTTTATGCGTGCCTTTCTAAGGCATAATGAGTGCCCAGCACTGCATTATATTACGCAAATATATGTTATTATTTTCTGTTTCCATCATTTCAATTTTCGCCGGTCCGCGAGTACATTTAATTCAAATTTAGTGGTTGGGAGCCACTGATCTATTGAATACTCAGTGTTGAGTATTCACGCAATTTAGCTTTGGGTTAAAACACTGATACTGAACATGTGAATAAATCGCCAAGAACGGCGGTTAAATTTGTTTCATGGAGGGAAGGGACAATATGCTTCCCGGACTTGCAATCATTAATTAATTGCCCATTTTTATTTATCATTATCAGTGCCGATTAATAAAGATAACATATCATGAAGACGAAAAAAGTCTGGCGGTGTTAATTGTGCTATGGCGATGACGCACAGAATAATATCGTTTTGACCACAAGAATTGATGCGTGATCGTAAAAGCGCTGTTGCTTTTTTGTAAATGAAATTTCACTTGAAAAATATTTTAAAACGGGGGGGGTTACAACCCATGTCCCCCCCTCCCCCGCTGGCTGGGCCCCTGGTTAATGTACAAGATTGCATAAAGTAGTTTCCCAAGAAATCTTCATTGCATCTGTTGGCTATTATTATTAGTGGAAATATGGGTGCTCCAGAAGTATGTGTACCAATATGGAGGTAACTAATTTGTTCGCCTACTTTACATCAAGTTGTGTAAAAGTACTGAAACCTATGGGCATGGGGTATATTCACTTGACTAACAAAGACAGTCCCCGAACTCGTAACATAACTCAAATAAGGAAAATTGGAACAAAATTATGGCCTAATCTGGTACACACATACTACGGGAGTACCAAAATATGACCATCATTTAAATAAGACTGGAACCAAAATAGAAACAAAAAAATTTGAATTGCTCCTGCATTCTAAAATAATGTCATTTCTTAATATTTGTATCATAAACGACAATTTTCAAATCATAAGTGGTTTGGTGGATCAAAGACAAAATTTTGAAGGTTAAAAGCAATTTTGTTGGTGCTGCCGTTGGTTAGTAACCAATGTGCTGACCTATGGCCCATCTTACATACGCTTGGATGTTACCTTCATATTGTTTTTATATTTTATCCAGGCCGTGCAAACAAATTTGTTCGATACTTTAATAAAAGAACTTGGGAACGAACAAGACTGAACATTACAGAATCCTACCACAAACAAAAATTATCAGAGCCTGAATTTCAGGTGTTTCCTCAACTACGTATTGTGAATCAATTTTACTCTGGACAGATGGCCCCAGGTGATACCAAGTACAGGCCAGAAATCGATTTTATTCACACTCAACTTGGATTGTTCAAGGATTCAAACTTGGGAAAAGAGATCTCCGTAAACAAACTATTCGAACATTTAGGTGATCCATCATGCAGAAGGGTGGCATTGGTTGGATCTGCAGGGAGTGGTAAAACCGTGGCCTTAAAACGGCTGGCAGAAAATGTCGTTGTTATCAATAACTTATTGAAAAATACTAACCCTGATGTTGGATCACTTTTCAAAAAAGGAAATAAGTCGAAATATAGATTCAAATTTGTTCATTACTTGGATTTGAGAAAACTTCCAGTTTTATATGCCACAAGACCAGAAGAAGCACTGGATCCCTGTGATTTGCTTTTTGGACAATTCGCACCAACACTCGAAAATATTGAGGTACGTGAAGGGTATATATGGACTCAAAAACATCAGTCGGAATGTATATTTTTTCTTGATGGCCTGGATGAAGTTTCTTGGAATCTAGAGAAGAATTACAATAAGATGACGTATACCGATAAATCAAGCACAGCCACAATAATGTATAATTTCTTATCAAGAAATCTCTTTCCTGATGCGACATTGGTTATTTCTTCACGCGAATACGGAATTGCATCCTTGCCTTACGAATTACGACCACAAATGGTGATTGCTCTTGCTGGCCTAGATCAAGAGGACATTAAGAGACTATTCATTGCAGTTTCAGGTGAATCAGGAGAAGAATCCTGGAATAAGTTTACAGTTCAATCACCATCACTTGTCCAGTTCTTGAGAGTACCATTATTCTTGATTTTTAATGCAATAGTTCTTAAGTTCAACCCTCAAAACCTACCTGACATAACAGATGTGATGATACAAATACTCCGTATTTTTTTTCGATCCAGTCACGCTAGAATAAGCAGAAACATAAACCAATATATTCACAAGTTGATGGGAATGTCATTCGAAGGCATAAAAGAAAAGCGAGTAATTTTCACTATCGGTGATCTCCAGAAGTTTGGCCTTCATTCAGATGAGGTTCGAAATCTTATCATAAAAGTCCCTGGATATAAAATTTTATTTAACCAACATCTCATGGAAGGTGACGTTTTGATGCACTTCAGTCACCAAATCTTCCAAGAACTTCTGGCTTGTCTATACATTGCCAACATGGATCTTGACATTTTTCAATCTTTCGTAACTACAGAAATTCACAGTGATCATTGGGCTGTCGTTTTGAAATTTCTATGTGGAATTATCTTGAACGAGAATACTGCTACCGAGTTTATAAAGGAATTGATTGAAGGTGAGTGTGATATATGAATCACTCCTATATACCGTAATCAAAAGCAAACGAATACACAGACTTAAATAACTGAAGCAGCATGGAAGTTTATTTCATTGAAAATCATCTGTTTATGCTTCAATCGTAATTGCTTGAGAAAATAACAATAAATTTTGCTAAGACAAATACAATTTATCATATGTTTATCCAAGTTTTATTTTTATTTTTGATAGTTTCTTCATTGGCATCGAAAAAAGAAATTCTCAGACATAAAATAGAATCTTTATTCAATCACGCAACAAGATTTCAACAAATTGTGGAACTGTACAATACTTTGAATGAATCCAAGGACATAGAATTCATTCGGGCACTCGTGAAAAATATCACCTTTGAAAGGGAGATATTTACTGAATATGGAATGCATGCCGTTTCATCCGTGATGCGACATTGCAACTATCTGCAAATAATAAGATTAATAGACTGTAGCCTCAATGAGAATGTGCTAGAAGTTATGAGAAGAAATTTATGCTCGTCAAATCTGAAGGTGATTATTGGTTAATATATTTGAGTATTCGTCAACTTTACCATATGCTCATTTTCATCAAAAGCTTAGAAAAACAATTATTGACTGGTGGAACTGCTGTGGCTAGTAAGATTTTTTCATGGCCTCAGCAGTTAATAACATTAGTTCACACTGCACTATTTGGAAATGAACACAAGATATCGGTTCAGGATTAACTTTAAGGTGGATTACCCAAACTTGATTGAAGGCAATTGATTAACCTAAGAACTAAATTTTTTTTTTAGGTGGAAAGATTTGACGTGAGCAGAAACCAATTAAATGAGCAATCATGTACCATTCTGGGGTCGAGTCTGCAAGAATGCTCTGTGAAAGAACTTATAATGCAAAACTGCAATCTCACTGACAAGAAACTTGAAGCTTTGTCAGGATTTGACTCATTGAAGGCAAGCATTTATGTTAAGTTTAGAGCCTATTAGGAGCCTAATAGTTTGATAACGGAAAATGAAATTCTAAATCAAAGTGAAAGTTTAAAGACTGAAATAATATGAGTTGCCTGAGCTTCATAAAAATCTTCTGTTATGACCATTGTTTATTTCCCAATGGATTCAAATGGGGTTATAATAAAAAATGGATAACTAATTTATACACAGATATTTGACATTGGCCACAATGATCTTTCTAAAGTTTCAATGAAGAGCCTAAAAAATTTCATCTTGGAAAATAACGTGAAAACTCTTATCACCGATACTAGGCATTTACGACAGGAATGTTTGGATGATCTAAAGCAAACAACCAAAGTAGTGGAAACAGGAGTAAGAAAAGTAGATCTTCCTAAGTTTACTTTGATATCCTTGGAATGAATACTTTGATATCCTTAACTGTGATAGGTGCGTACGTCGGGTTCTGATTGGACGGGTCGGCTTACATGCGAATTCTTTTAAATTCACTATTTTAAAGCCGTTTTCAGGGAGTCAGCTTATATGCCATGATATATGGTAAATCTTATTAGTTATATTTTTTAATTATGAAAAATTAACTCCAAGGAACATCATTAATCTTATATGAACGTTGAACAATTAGTTCAATGTCCACTTACTATAAATCTATGAATAAGCTATTCTACAATTTGTTTTATATTATTTATTTTTCTAAATAAAATTATTTTTCTATTGCAGGTAATGCAAAAAAAGAATCACAATATACTTCCAGGTATATATATCAACAATAAAATTGTTTCCATGATTTTAAATCCACCATGATACTGAATCAGGGCTCTGAATATTATCCTAAATTGTCTGCAGTTTTCCTGCCATTAGGTTGGGTCAAAAGTTTCCCATTTTACTGTGTGAGTGGTTCATGTGGCCTGGGCGATGTGTTGCATTGTGCTATGCGTTAGAAATATGCTTGCCACCGCCTGATTATCTTGAGTGGGTTCGCAAGTTCGAATCCCATGCGGGGTTAATTATGTGCTGAAGAATTGCTGGACTCCTCACCGCTGTAGATCATGTAATCGCTGGTCGCTTATGGCTCCCTCCACCATCAAATCCATGCTTCCGAAAACAAATAACTGACTAACTGATCCGATACCCGACATGGACTGGTAACATGACCAGAGGTCATGGTTTCATCATATTAAGCCGTCTCAGCTTTCTTCTATCCCGGGATAAATATGTAAATACTACCCTGATGCTTGCAAATCTGAGCTAAATGAACAAACTGAGAAAAAAGCAATCTCACACGTAGCAAGAGCGCATATACAATAACCACTCGAAAACTTTCAGGGCTTTTTGTGTGGAGTTGTAATATTTTGACCAAGTGTCTGAGTGATTTATTGGGTATTTCTGTGTTGCAGGCCCTGAAAAAGAAAAATACACCAAATTACTACAAATTGGTTCAAGCAAATCAGAGAGAATGAAGATTTTCACTGAAATGCATGCAGTCGGAGAGGCATTGAGTGATACAATTGCATCGAGTGTACAGGCAATCGACATGAGCAATGTCACACTCACATACAATGACATCCCAGCTCTTGGTTTTATCATAAGCCACTCAACAACACTAAGTATGGTCAATTTCAGCAACTGCAGATTACCACCAAACTCGATTGCTCGACTGGGATTTTCTATCAAAAGCAATGTTGTGGTAAGGCTTTCTTTCATTTTATTTCTATTTTCAAGCAAGCAAGTTACATGTTAACTCTGTTCAGCTACTAGTTTTTAGATAACATAGAATAGGAATAAAGAATTTCTTTAAGAGGAAACCTAGTAATACGAGAATATCGGTCGGAGATCGAAGACGTATCGATCGAAAGTTAGGGGATCCCCAAAACAGAAACTGCGGTTTCAAATTAATCCACTCTTACTCCACAGTGACACCGTGTCTCCAATCACTAATTAATTATTAACTCGCTAATTATACGATACAAATCAATACAAATCAAAATGTCTCGCTTTATTAATTTAAATGTTTTCAATTTAACCTGCGATTGCGTCCACAAAATAGAATGCCCACAAGTCTAAAATACCACGGCAATCTGCGGACATAAAAAAAATATGTGGTAAACTGCCATAAAGTTTTGATTCGTATTTTTGCTATTTCGCGAATTCTTAGATGTACTTGTTAAACTGACTCCGCTCAATCGCAAAGCTACCACTCCGATTACTTTTAAAATAAAACCTTTTGAAATATCCATAAATCCACTATAAAATTTAAAATAATAGATAATAAGGCAAATCCCGCCCACAACCAGCAGTGCTTCGATTTTAGTGACATATGTTTCTAAACGCCGACCAAACATAATGCGAATCCCCGCCCCCCTCACCCCCTGGCTGTGCCACTGCTAGCACCCTATTACTCATTTACACAATCATAATCTACTTGCAGATTCATGAACTCAACATTGAAAAAAATTACAACCTCAATGTGGAAGACTTCATTGCCGGCGTCAAGCTTTGCATCAGGGAAGGAAGAGAATGCAATTTTATCTGTGATGTTGCGCAACTCACCAAAAAAGATAAAAAAGTCTTTAAAGCTGTGGTATTACAATACACGGTATGTTGAATTTAGTTCAACGCTAGCATTGTAACTCTTATGAGTCTTATGACTCCAGGAAGAATCAGAACACATTTTTAGAAATTACAGACAATAGTAGTACATTTGAACATTGATGTTGTGAAAAAACACTTGCTGCAAATTTAAGACTTCCATTTCTTGGGTATAGCCATACAGTTTTCTATTCACTGTTAAACTATACCCACAAACTATTCTAGTACTGATACATTAAAATGTATCAATTTATAAAACTTTATTTAAGGAAACATCTCCTTCTCAATCTGCGAGGTCAAGACGTGTATTAGCAATGGAAAGCAGAGTAAGTAGCTTCTAACATATTGACATCTGAACCACTAAGCATTAGGAATGACATTTGTGAGTTCGAGAAAACCATGTGAGGTCTTCTTGCTGCAGGTTGTTTCAACGGTTTTTCTTCCTTCAATACAAATATGGAATATACCCTTGAAACAGTTTACAAATTTGATTTCATTTTTGTACAAGGTTGCCCTACGAGATACAAACAACTGCCGGTGTCTCACAAGCTATTTTCATAAGTCAGAGGTGACGAACCTGCGACCCGCGGGCCGCATGGGGCCCGCAAAAGAATTTTGTGCGGCTCGCGAAGCATTCAGACGATTCGGTGTATGTTTGGCTTGAAGTCATAAACCTTCAGAGACTGTACATATAAAATGGGAGCGCCAGTATTACCTGTATTACTGACAACGACATCTTGTTTTGTTGGATCAACAATGTATCAAAATAACCAATGTCTTAGTCTAGTTACGCTGGCTTATCGACAAACACATAGGGATTAGGGGAGGAGGGGTAACCTCACTTTGCAAAAATCTAATGTTTCAGGGCACGATACACGGGATATCTAAAGTAATAAAAAGTTTATAACTTCAGCTCTATGATTAAAATAATGGGAGATCTTGAATAAATGCCTACATTTTAAAAATCAGTTAATCGTTACAGGATGGATTCGTTTATATAACTCCTGTATCCGGAGGCTTGCAAAATACGGCTCTTTAGTACGAAGCCCTCGCCACTAATGTGAAATTTGTTAACGACAAATTAGGTATGCAGTTTAGAGATTCCAAAACGTCATTTCGTCCTAATATAAGCGCTTAGTAAAGCAAAAAACTTTCCAAAAATTTCACTAAGCAAAACCTGAATTGAATGTTCTATTTAGTATTTTTATTTTATACTGCAATATATCATTAGATAACTTCATCTTTATAGATGCTGTTGTTCGTTTTTGTTAGTGAAAATTAATAGGCATCCAACTATATATGACTAAAAAGTTGTGCGGCCCGCTTACTCAGCGGTGACTGATAAAATGGCCCGCGAGAGCAAATGGGTTCGTCACCCCTGACATGGGTACATTCAAGATATTTATTGCACTACACTATTTAAATTGCATTAATTGAAATTTTACCAGCTAGTTAATAAAAACCCATAATAATGTTGGATTTTTATGCATTTCAGTTGCAAATTCCACAAGTTCCTTTGAGGCGGTACAAGAAGCACACAGGAAAGTCTTATAGCATTAGACACCAGAGAAAAGCTGTTGAAGAAAAATCACAAAAAGCTACATATTCGACTAGTCAGGTTAGTGCCTTGAATATGATTGAAAAACATTTGCCTCGATGATTTGACTGTTAGATTAGTTACTCGAAAAAAGCAAATGAATTTTGTTATCTTACCATTCTATTGAAATGTTTTTTTGCACTAGAAATGTTGTTTTGCATGTTACAAAAGACTCAAAAGAACCTAATGATTTTAGTTACAGCCATCAAAGACAGATCAGACAACTACAGATCCAAGAATCGTTGCCCACACAGAAAATACTGACAAACGGGAAGAGGAACCTTTAGAAACATTCTCTGTAAGTCGAGCAGTAACATTACATTATGGAAATTCATTCAGGATTTCATTTTATTGCAATTAATATAATGTTACCGGTAATAATAATTTATTGGGAAATATTTTGACATTTCAATATAGTTGTCTTATTTTTGATAACTTTCATTACTAAATTGAACCTTGAAAAACCTTGGATAAAAATTTGCTAACTTGCTCAACTTTCCCACGTTGGCTGTGAAAAATCGTTTGCACATTTTTTAACAAAATTCTTGATCTACTTAGACAAAATCGAAAATCCCGCAGTCATACACTTATAAAATTTTATTTGATAAACAGGATGCTACAGTCTCCACAAATAGGTATTCTACACAGCCGAAAAGAACGAAAAAAAATGTGACAAAGTACAAGCCCAAAACTGTTGCTGAATCTGTTAAGTATAGGAAGATGCAGAGATATCAGGTATTGTTAACTATCCTGTATAGCAGTGGTTCCCAAACTGTGGGTTGCGCCCCAAGATGGGGTCGCGGAAAGATTTTCGGGGGTCGCCTAATTTCTTTCCAACATGCACACAATTGACTAGGATTGGAAAATGAAATTTGTAATAGCCGTCAAGTATTTTCACGCGCACGTGTCGAATGGGCTACGTGCTTTGTCCCCATCGCCTCCGCCTGAAAGTGAACATTTCGTATTGCAATAATACGTATTTAAACGTCTCATACATAATTTTGAGCAGTCAAACACGAAACCACAACAATTTCTAGCATAATAAAAGTCACTTAAAACATGTGATTTCGTACACGCTTTTTCCTATTTTACTTTCATGCTCTATTTTACGTTCGAATTAATAATAGAGCAATCTGTAATATGCAATCTTGAACTAAAAATAATAAAAAAAACTGTTGGAATATACTAAATAAGAATTTAAATTTGTGTTTATTTAGAAGCAGTCTTACTATTTCCGAAGTATCGTACGCTTTCTTACAATCTACCACAAATCTTCTGTGTTATCAAATCTTCTGAGTTTTCCCTGTTTTCCCGGCGCTTTGTTGGACTCGTTCATATAATTTTTGTGCCAATGTTCTCCGCTAACGTCCACTTTTAGTCGATATATGGGTAGGCTACATTGTAATAAAACTTATATATTCATTTTTGAAATTGCTGAACGTTTTTAGTTATGGGGTTGTGAGTATTTGTAGGCTTTGATTTGATGAAAATTGGGGTTGCCAAAAAAAAGTTTGTAAACCACTGCTGTATAGGCATCTAACCCAACAGTAGATTTAGAATGGATGAAAAGGTACTTTGCACACACACAATTGACAGCTCAATAATGTGTAAGACGCCAGGGTTGGTTTCCCCACTGTGGCTATTCATCATTTTGCTTGACATACTATAAATAATGTAATCTTTGATGAATTATATATTCTGCATATATATTACCGTATTATATTGAATCAGCAAATTGGCTTTGGTTTGCGTGATATGTAAACCCATTAGTTCATCAAGCCTCCTTTTTGCACTACTTATGCAAGGGCTTGTCAGAGAAAAATTCTGGAAAACTTGAATGTTGAATAAATAACATTTTCTTTTTTTTTAGTCAATTCTAAGCACATTAGAAGAAGAAATAAGTGAAACCCTGTTTCATTCAAAATTGGATAAAAGTGTAAAAATAGCGGTAAGTTGACAAACTGTACCATGTAATTCAAGAGTTTCGCTGCGCACCAACACAGATGTATTTCTGTAACGTTTCACCTGACAAAATAAGACCTACTCAGACAAGCAGTTTACAACAATCAAACTGACTGGCCTTCGATTCTGAAATGTTTTTGCAGGGAATATTTTATCTACGGACCACCGCAAATGCGGATCTACAATATATTCCATTCACAGGGGGGGGGGGGGGGGGGGGAGAGATTTATTGTTTCATCAACCAGAAAACAAGCATTGGTACAAAAACATTTATAAAAAATATTTCGGTAATTTGGTATTGACTGGGGAGGGAGATATATGACCATAAGGTCATTGAAGTCAGCTACACCCAAAATCTCTATTGAGATTCGCATTTAATGTATGTAAACAGTGGCTAAAAAAGCTACTTGTTGGATAGTTTAACTAAATCTTTTGTAGAATATTTTGGGGTTTTATCTATAAAGAAGTTAAACCAATGGATATCCACAGTGAACAGCATGTAGGACAACCAGAAATTATCTAGAATCATAAAAAATGTTATTTATTAGTGTTTTACTTGCTTCGCAGTAATATTGCTCCCAAAAACAACCATGGTTCTACACAATGTCCCTTTCCCTGCTAAAACTTGACTATCATATTTATTTATATTTATTTTCAGGCATTGGCATCAGATAGAACAAGGTTTCATGTTTTAGCAAATAAAACAACAAAGTCAGCAGGACTGAGGCGGCATGTTGAAAACACGCATTCGATGGTAATATGATTTGTTGTACCCAGTGGCGCAACCAGACCGTTTTCAACGGGGGGGTCCGACCGGAATTTACACAGTGCAACCACGACGTAAGTCGCAACGCCACTAGGTGTCGCCCCGCTGAAACACGATAAATTGCTTGTGGTTAAAAGGGAAATGCCATCGATTAAATCCCAGCCTTTAGCTTACCTTGCACTCGTTCATTAACGGCGCTTCACTATGTCTTGCACCTCGTGGGTAGCAAAACGCCGTTCATTACATTCCAGCGAATTGCTAACGAAAGGCTGTTAATTATTTTCAACGTTTCCCTCGCTTTGCGCCTCGTGGATAGTGAAACACGGCTTGAATAAATTCCAGTGTTTCCCTAGTGCCGCGCCTTGCTCGCTGGATGAATTCGTCAGCACTAAAAACAAAATGCACTTCTTGCGAATGGACCTTTTCCCGACCCTAACCCCAGAAAAGTTCTAAACTAAACTGAAGCTCACCGGAAGACATAGTGACAATTAAAATAATTGATTTACACTAATTTTTGGAAACACAACTAAAAACTGACTAATTTAATGCAGGGATGTCCAAATCGAATTTAAATTCAAATATCGCAAACTTCAAATACTGTTTTTTCGTGTTTATAATAATCCAGAATATGGCGCACATATCCTAGCGTCGTCGTCCATGTGTGGTTCGGCAATATATTACAGCTGACATGAAAGAATTTCGATAAACGCCGACTTGAAGAACTTATAAGACTTCGAGGACGTTTTTAATTGAAAATATTTTCTTATCGTGTATTTTAACTTAGTCGAGATGGTTCAGGCGTCCTCGGCAAATTGTGTCTTAATTAGTTGTTTTCATCCTCAGTTTCGATAGTGACCGAACATAACAGGAAATTTTTTCATTTCTTGTAATTTAGCGCGTATAAAATAGCTCTTAAATAGCATTTAATATCTATCGCGGATTTCGACGGCATCCGGCGTTGATGACAACATCGTTCAGTTTGAGTTAGCGGAATTCATTTACAAACAAAAATACATAACAGCCGACATGAAATATTCAAATCAGCGCAGAGTTCAAAAATAAAACACGTTTTATGGTCTTAATATGCACTTAGAAAGAAGAAAGGACAGAGAAATAACGACTAAAAACTAAGAATGGTATGCTATGTGTTGTGTACTTTTGTTTACCATCGTCATCATAATCAAATTAGTTAAACCCGATTCCCAAATTTCCGTCCGCCAATAATGGAGAATAAAGATGGAAAAACGTGTTTTAATTTAATGTGTTATAATTTTTTGATTATAAACCAATACCTCCAACTTAAAATGAACGATATTGTTATTAACGACGTCGGGATAACGATAAAATCTCCGATAGTGACCAAATAATATTTAGAAGCTATTTTATAGAGTGCAAGAAATTAAAAAATTTCCCGGTAAGTTCGATAACTATCGAAACTGAGGATGAAAACAATTAATTAGGGCAGGATTTGCTTTTAAGTTTATTGCCGAGGCGCACAACATATCTTGATTAAATTGAAATATACGATAACAAATGTAAAAATTTTCAACCAAAAACGTCCTCGACGTCTTATTAGCACTTCAAGTCGGAGTTTATTGAAAACCTTTCACGACGTCTGTTAGTTATTGCCGTGCCACACATGGCTGCTTTCGATTGCGATAAAAAATGAAATAATTGTGAAATGTTTTTAAATCAGAACGTGGACTGGGGCGGTAGGATGTGTACGGCGTTTTCGGTTTTCGGTCTTTCATATGTAGAAAATCTTAGGTTATTCGAATATTTTTCCGAAAATAATTTACGTATCCAGATTTTGAGAGTCACTACTGCATTATTGTAACATGAAGACGGGCGGCGTTACATTGCGCCAAGATGATGAAGCACGAGAGTATTCGTCACAAGAGAGAGAGAGATAGCATTATGCTATTGTCGCTTTCAATTCGCATCGACAGCGCGCGATTTCTACCTTTTTGAGGTAACGTATCTCATTTTCAAATACAAACATATACGCGGGGATAGCGATTGTTACGTAACTAACAGCAAAAAGGTATGATTGAGGTCGGGCGGTGTTAAATTACGTCGAGGTGATAAAGCACTGGAAAAAAGTAGTTTTCACCGGATTGTTATGACTGTGGAACGACGTTGTTTGAACGTAGAACGATAATAAAAAAAAACGAATTTCAAACGGGGTGGACACGACCCCCGTAACCCCCCCCCCTGGTTGCGCCACTGTCTTGTACCCTAGATATTCAATCTAGAAGAAAAATATTGTTTTGTTGTTTGTTGAGGCAGATTTACGGATTTTTTGAAAGGTTTTTACTTTAAAAATAATCGAAGTGGCAGCATTGCGATTGAGCGGATTGTCACTGTTACAAGTACATCTCAAATTTGCCGAATTGGCAAAATAACAAAAATACGGATCAAAACCCTAGAAACTTGACCCCCCAGAAACGGGGGGGGGGGGGTGGGTCAAGTTCCTTACCTAACGGGCATTAAAATTATGTTGGCAACTTTAAATAGCCTATAAAAGATCTATATGCCGGGGCAGTCAATAGCAATTGAGTAAGTTCAGGCTAGGTAACAATCTTAACCCTTTCCATGCGATTTTTATTTTTTATTAAATGATCGTATTTGCTACGCCGACTTTATGCATTTGTACCCCCACAACTAATCGATCGACTAACGGAAAAGTAATGATCCTCTGCTTCCCACTGACGGCTCGTTGGAAAGCTTATTTAAAGAGCTTGCAATTGGCAATTGAAAAAATTTTTTTTTTTAAAAGGGGTGGTCTGAGTCACAAACCGGATAGAAAAAAGGCATTTTTTTTGGGGGGTGTTGAAACTTCAAACCGTGATAAAAAATAGAAATATTCGCTAAATCCTTTACTGTTACCGCTTCTTGGTTGGCAAACAATAGCATAATATTGCTGTAGCAATTTCGTTATCTAACTCAAAATACTTTGGTTGATGGAAGGGATAATATGTCTTCTATTACCACCCAAAAAACACCGAAATTTGCATAAATTCAAAAGCACTCCCTCGTTCCGCCGCAAATAAAATTCCCATGGTAAACGAAAGCGAGATTTACCGTCGCTTATGTTAATCTCGAAGAAGACTTCCTATCAATAAACTAAAACCCAGAAAAACTAGACCAACAGTTTAACGACCGATTGCTAAATAAAACAGTGGAGTACATCAACGTACCCGCCGCAATCTAGCGAGTTTTGTCGTGGGTACGTATACGTGCCCACCGCACGGAAAGGGTTAAGTCTGGATTTTTGCAAGTTTATTTCTTTCCAAAATTATGCTTTTGTCCAATTTCTTTCTATTTATTAATACTTACAATGAGTGCATTTTGGATTATATTTTATTGCTCAAATAGTATTTAGAATCCTTTTGAGAATTTGGAATAAGCACCAGCCCATTTATTTTATCAGAAACATTCAGTTATGACAAGGCACATTGTTGTCGAACACTTTCTCAATAACTTCAAATTTACTATCAGTAGACAAATTTTCAAACATTCCCTGGGAATTTAGAAGTCAGCAAATAACATGGCTTCATTTCATACTGTACTCAAAACCAGGGTTTCAAGCTCCAAAAACAGTTACAACACCCAGCTTTTCGGGTTAGGGCAGATACCCTAGTTCCGGTCTGAATTTTATCACTGAAGGCCATGCCTAATTTTCGATACTTTGAATTGATGATTATTTGATAATTGATGACAATATATACACATAGGTTTCTTCAATGAGGAAAAGCACCAATAAAGATTCTGGCATCAAATCGTTCAGCCACTTCAGTTCAGCAGCCAGCAAAAAAAGCATTCACAGGAAATATTCTGGACTCAGAACAAGAATTTCTGTAAGATACTCATTTATGATTATATAACCCCACTTCAAAAAAAAATAAATCACACTGAAATGGCATCTGCAATGCAGGCTCCAGGTAAACTAACTCTCTCCATGTCGTCATACGTAGTACACCTTCAACCCTAATACCTACAAAAACATCAGGCTTCCACCCTAATAGCCATGACCTTATCAATTTATCCCTTCAAACAAAGATCCTGGACCAGAGGTGCACAACACCGATGCATGCGTGCCCAATGTGGAAAGTCATAAACTGAAAGGGCATGCAAACGGTATGGGAAAAATTACATTCGTACGAGTTCACCCGTACAATTGTGAACAGGGTTTCCCAATCATGAACAAATCTTAAGCTTACGGACATGGTTGGATGAATCTTCTCTTTGAAGCCAAACATTTTAAATCTGGTTCACCAACAAAGCAGAAGTTTTCCAGGACAAAAAATTGGTTTAGTGAATAGTTAGTTGTTATGTGTTTCATGAACGTTCATTCACAATACCAACGATTATTTGAACGTGGCATGGCAACAGGATTATTATGAAAACTTTGACACATCCTCATTTAAGTTGTGCACCTCTGCTCCAGACAACCAACTGCTAACATACTAAAAGCTACCAAGTTTTTGAAAAGAAATAGTTCAGCTACATCGGCCTAACTTTATTATTATGAATGGGTTAATGGGTAATGTGATAAGAATGAGGTATGAAAATTTCTTCTCGTAAATTCACACTTTCAAAATTGCACAAAACTGAAAAAATATTGCAAAGCATTACAAATCAAATTCATCCTCATTTCGAACAGGACAAAAGCAGAAGAGCAGAACATTCATTACAAGACAATGTAGATGTGAGATATTTATTCAAACTACAACTTATAGTTTCGATTGGGAATTGAATTCTGAAGCTATCTCGATGTTGAAGCATTAAAATTATTGTTAGCACGGAAAATTGTCATAAAAATGAGTTCACAATATATATTTTTCTGTACAAGATAGTCACTTCGAAGTTTCGGTCGAAGGGTTTGAATTTTCTGTTTTAGAAAACCCAACCTAATATACAGAGTTATTTTGGCGAGTGGTGATATCAAATCCTGTGATTCTGCCCAGTTATGTGAAAATTTAGCAACCACCTTGCCATTATTCAATTCTCAGTTTCTTTAATGATAAGATTTATTAAACTTATAATTATAACTTTTCAGACTGACAGTGCACGTGGAAGTTTCGGCAGTTCCGAAAATTTTGATATTTTAAAGAAAAATAATGTAAGTCAAAAATACTTTTTTTGCTATTTTGCTTCACAAAAATTGTACACCAGTTACCTCTACTAATTGTTTGTTCTCGCTTCACAATTATTAAACTGGGAAAAGTATATGCATAATGCTAAAAACATCAATTGTCGATCTTAATTACTGATTACGAATATTTTTCAACTTACTCAGGATCACGATCCAAAAGTGGTTGGGCACCAAAGCTTCGAAATGACATGCAAATATGGGCTTGGAGTCGTGGAAAGTAAAACTGAGCAGATTGAAAGGTGGTTAAATAGTAAGTACTGAATGATCAACATAATGGGATTGGAGAATATGAATCAGAGACAAGAATTTTGTTAAATTTTGACTATTTGACCCTATTCAAACCGATTTTCTGAATTCAATTTGCATGGGTCATTCAATCGCCTGTTCATAATATGCCTGTAATTCTAAGTCATCAGAGATTTAGTCATTTCTCAAAACTATCGAAAGTCTGAGGTGAAATTTTGATTTGAGTATAAATAGTTTTAACACTGGAAGATTTTGGATATGAAGCTTTCCACACAGAATGTAATAAGTTATCAACTTCAATGAGTTTTTTTGAACTTTCTCCTATTTCGTTAAATATGCCTAATTTGAGTAGATCAATACGTTTTGCTTAACCTTGTTGTAATGTGAGATATTTATTAACAGAAAAACAATCGCAAAAGTTTGAATTACCACCAGAAGAGGATTTTGTAAAAGGGAGTGAGCAAGGTAATATGCTTGAGATCTAGTTAGCGATAACCGAAGAGGTTTGTTTGAATGAAGTTAAGATTATTTAGTATCGGCTTAGCCTAAAATTACCCAAGGAATAAGATATTACCACTAAGAAGGCTCAAGACAAGCATCCTTCGATATCTATCTGTTTTTTTTTCAGGGCATATAGATCTTCTTGAAATGAAACTTGACAATGCTCTTCGTAGACCAGAAGTAGTATATGCAACCATTGGTGAAAAAGGTGGAGAAGTGAGAATATCCTCCTTCAAAATATATTTTCCACACGGTGCAGTTAAAGAAGAAAAAGAATTTTTCTTCAAGTCATGCTCTTTTCCCGATGAACAGCAGTCTGAGGGTTTTTTCCCCATAACTCCTGTCCTCACATGCAGACTGATAAATGAGCCCCACAGATTGAAAGATGATACGATACTGCCATTTACTTTTCATAAGTCAGTCAAAATAACAATGAGAACTTTTTGTAGCCCAAAATGTGTGAACGTACCAGTTATAGTTTCAGTATTCCATACAAATGAGAAGGGTAAAGGTGGTCGACAAGTAAGATCTCATGAGACAATACTTGGTCGATTGGGTGTTATTGATATTGAAGTTAAAGACTTTTGCAAATTTGAGCCCTCAATTCCTAATGAGCAACTGAAAAACATAAAATTTTCCCTAAAAAACAATATCAGCTTTGAGAATACAGAAAGGGTAATTTCCTATTTTTGGAAAGAAGAAAAAAACATCACTGCTAATGATTTGGGTAGCAGTGGAAGTCCAATAGCAACAGGATTTCCATTGCCAGTAGAAATCATCATTTCCCAAGATTCGACCATTAAGCTTTCGATGAATTGTAAATACCCCAATGAAACTGAAGTTGAACCTTTGGATCGTAGCTTCAAATTTGCTGAAGATTTGCTCATACAAAAGTACCATATGGTATTCTTCGAGTTAAAAAAAGTAACACATAAATCTTGTAAATTAAAAATTGATTATACCCTCAGAGCAATCGACTCATACCAGAAATCTAGAACAAGGGGACCGCTTCCTATCTTTGTTGAATGGCCTATAAAACAAAATGGTAAGTGATATTTTCTACCTTTTTGGGATCGCTTAAAGCAGCTTTCAGATTCTGTAGTAGCTAAAATTTGCATGCGGGCCGCATGATTGGAAACACGCTACTTCGCGGGTCTAACAATCAAAGCCGGCATTGTTATTTATGCTTTGTGTGAAATTGGTGTGCCCTTCGCGATCCTTAAAATTCGTCGCTCGAGCTCTCGCCCCCCAGTTTGGGAAACCCTGATTCAAATATCTCGGTATTCAGACTGATTCACGCTTAAAACAATATCGGTATACAATCTCACACCCATTAGTGCATATTAGCAACCTATTAATAACCCCATTTTTTACTAGCAGTTTATGAAACTTAAAGTTTCTTTTTCAAATTTAGAACTTAAAAAACAATTCCGAATGGTGCAGAAATTCTCGCACAAAAGATATTGCTATTTACTGTAAAATTTTAAAATATTGGAGCAGATTTTGTAGAAAAATGTAATTTAATAGTCGAAAAAGTACAACAGAGGAATTTCTATTGCTACTAAACGGATTGTTTGTCCAGCCTACAATGGAAATATCCCAAAAAGTTAGATATGACTAAATAAATTGTCATACATATATCTAGGACAATTTTGCAAGACTGAACCTGAGTAAAATATTTTTCTGCAGTCAGTTTATACTGTAACACTCAATACCTAATTCTAATAAACAGGAAATATTGAAAATGAAGGGTGGGTTTTAAAAGTAGATCAATGCTCTTTAACCTTTTTGTTATTGTGGAACCCCTAATATAATTTTTCGTTTTTTATGGAACCCCAATTAAAAATTTTTTTTTTAACTTTGGCAATTGATTTACATTTTCGCTTCGGAGAAGAAGCAGGTGCCTCTTTCGCATTTGAATTACTTTGCTCATTGCCGTCCTGACCTTCACCGTTGTTATTATTTTGCCTCACATAAAAAAAATATACTATTTGCTTCATCTGTATTAACTAAATATTAAAAAGTTGGGTCTCACACTATTTATAATATATTCCAACAAAAGCTGAACAACAACTCTAGTTTCTAGTATATACTCTCTCTAGTCTCGAGCAATATCTACATAATTTGAACATCATGTCACTGTGGTGCCACAATAGCTTGTTCTTGTCAGTTGCATACCAATGACTAAAGTGATGCAACAACCAAAAAAATTTCTATATCGTCTATTAACTGATGAATGAATGTTGACTGTTGAAAAACTGATATGAACGCATCACGATGGTCTAAGAATATTTATAATGATGCATCAACATACTGAAAACAAGAAATGATTCCCCCTGAAAAAAAAAAAAACGTGGAACCCCTACGGAACCCTATAAACTCACAGAACCCCACTGCATGTATTACGGAGCCCTAGGGTTCTGCGGAACCCCTGTTGAAGTGCACTGAGGTAAATGAACCACTAAATACATATTTTCCATTTCATATGCAAGGATACTGTACCTTGTTTTTACTCAAGAAAATAAGATTCTTCATATTTTTAAGCCCACCAGTAATGAAAGTATTTCATTAAATTTAACTGTTTCAAATTATTATTTTGATTTGTAGTTCGTCTTGTGAAAAATGTATGTGGCAAAGTTTGCGGCCCGCCGGGCCTTCAGATTTATGCTTGCGGCCCTCTTGGTAATTTGAGTTGTGCAGGCCTGCTGTAGATGGAATCAAATTATTATCTATGAAAGTAATGATAACATGTGCCATAAACAAATAAATTTTGACTAATGATATTTGATATATTGTTATTTGGTGTATCAAACTATACAATAATATTTGTAAAATATGCGAATAAATTTCTACAGAATCCACTGGGGCCACTGGTATAAGTGTTAGTGGTGCTGATTGCAAAATAATACAACGAGGAAACATAAGCGCAATAGCAGCAGGTATGTCATATATATATATATATACCGTAAGTCCCATCCCCAGTTTTTTGCAGTTCACATATTATGTTGTAACAATATTTTCATTAGTTGCCCAAAATTATCCTTTAGAATCATTGTTTAGTGTTTTACATTTTATCCGCGAATAATTGGATTTATTTTCTTTAACTGGTAAGCCGGTTTCTGCTTTTTAAAATTTTATTGTATTCACAATTTCACTTCAAAATGGAATATTTCAGAAAAAAACATTAATTCAAAATATCTGATTTATTCAAATATACTTTAGTGGATGCTAAATAAGTTTGAAACAAGTTATTTTGGTCCTCAACCTGTTATGCTTATTCTCCCTTTGAATCTTTTTAAATACCAGAAACATTTTACAAAAAGACATCACTTCAAAACTAGAGATTTCCACAGGCTATATAAATAGTGTATTCTATCTAAGTGGATTTAGTGCGGTGCTTTTCAACCTTTCTTTGTCCTTCACTCTAAATCTGGTACACCCCCACCCATCCTACATTTTTAATCGCCCAAAAACACAATGTTTTACCAACAGAATACTTTATTATTTGTGTCCTGTGAAGGTTGCTCCTGGATTTCACCAGCAATTGTACAAAGTGAGGTAATAATCTCAATTCCAGTCCCTATTATTAATGTAAATTATACCCAAGAACTTTAACAGTATAACTTCATGAATTTCTCAGAAGCTCCAGCAATTATGCGAAGTGTGTTAAATTATGCTAAAGTTATTCTCCAGACATGTGGTAGATTTAGATTCACTTGTGATCACTGATATCGGCTTTGGAAGCAGGATGGAACATCTGAAAATGTAATTGCTCTTTTTATATCTACAGGTACAGGCCAACGAATTGCAGCTGCAGGACAAGATGCTCCACAACCAAACTTTCAATGCAGCACTTTAACTATTTATTTAGTTGTTACCGCTATTATTGCCATTTTTTTATCACTATTATTTCAAACTATGAGATGATGCCACTTCTTACATTAAGAATGCTATTTCTATAACATCTCCCTGGTGCCTTTTTTCACACAAGTTTTAATTTCAAATTGTAAACGCATAGCTGGAGCGCAAAGTTTGAGAATTATACCTGTGCTGTTAGAATTACCGTATTTTCCTGGCTAGCAAATCTCAAAAAGAGGGTTTTTCCATATAGCCATCCAATAGGACCGGGCAGAAAAATTGCCTTTTCGTTGGTCCTTTTTGGGCACTAATATGCGTTCTTATTATTATAAGTTAGAACAGTGGTTCCCAAACTTTTTAGAGTTGGGATGGGACCCACTATATATTACCACAGCTTATGGCATGGCGACCCACAACAAAATATCTTGGTTGGTTCTATTTTCTTTTTTTTTATGACAGAACACAGCAATGGCTAATCATCGCAAAACTACCATGTTTCCTCGAAAATAAAACCTGGCCTGAAAATAAGACTTAATTTGAATTTTAAAAATTATTTTAATTAAACCCTACCCTTAAAATAAATTTAAAATGTGTAGGAGAGGAAAGGTTCAATGACCTGAGGTAAGGTGAAGATCATACCACTATTCAAGATTGTGTGATATCACAATTATGATATTTGTCACTTGATTTTTGTATAGGAAACACGAATAAAAACAATGGATGTCGGTTTTTATATGATGTTTAATAAAGAATCTCGTGATTTTATTTTTGATAAATGAACACAAAAGACCTCTTCCAAAAAAAAAACCATAGTGTTATTCTTCAAAAGAAAATAAATCTAAATCCTTCTAAATTTCAGGGAAACACAGTAAGAAGTGCTGTACAGTGTACAAAAACTGCTATGCGTAAAAAAGCCACATGGTCATTCTTTGTGTAGCAAATTTTTGTTTCTTTGAAAAGATCATAAAAAGGAAACTTTCAGTTTAAAATTTTAATTCAATTTTTTTTTTTTGAAGATTTACGTATTCGAGTCGGTAAACACTGGTAATTGTAGAATAGCTCATGTTGATCATCTTCGTTTATATTTGAGGGAAGATTGTGACAGTGTGCCTGTTATTATTGCTGATATCCCAGACAATATTGCTGTTTCTAATGATGAGCAGGATGTTGTTATTCCTGTTGATGTTGAGCCAGAAGTTAATTTAGATTTGCCTGTAGGGGGGTCTGATGAAAATCAGGTTGTTACTCGTTCTGGTAGGACAAGGCGGCCTTGCCTACTTGGATGATTTTCATACTTGATTTATGCTCTGTAACATTTTGTTTTGAATTACATTGGGAATTGTGCTATAATGTATATATTTAGGTAGGACTAGTTAGTGTTTTTAGATAGGGTTTATTTGATTTTGTAGTTGGGAATTTTTTGTATTTTTATTGTGTATTTTGTAAATAGTGTGCTTTATATTTGTCATACTTTCAGGAATGCTTTCTACTGTTTAATATTTCGTTCCACATTTTTACATTTACACATTTTTACGAGTTTTGTATTCCTGCTGTGTTAATACCTTTCTTAGGGGATGTTTTTATTTTTTTTTGAGAGTAAATTTTTCAGAATTTTCTCTAATGAACAGGGGGGTATTGTGGCGGGACTGGATTGTCCTATTTTTTTTATTGTTTTATATTTTATTTATATTTCTTGTCTAGTATTGCATATGCATTGGTGTGTGGAGTCTGATCCATAATTCGGCCTATAGTTAGATCCTGTTACTCGACTCCAACCACCACTGCATATGTGAACTGGCTGCAGTTTGCAGCATTCGCTCTTCTTTGCTTTTGCTGTTGCTGAGTAAGGACCGTATTTTGTCGCTCTTCCATTCTATCTGCTTCAATCGTGGATTTTACACTATTTTAATAGAGTCTTTCATTTGCATCGTGAACTTCGAACCTATTTGTGTGTCTTTGCAGCACACAGGATCTTCTAACTAATTATTACTAGACTATATTAGTGGCGAGCACCTACCGGTATTCCGGATAAGTCGTACCGTTGCACCACCGATCCTATTAACCAGTATAACTAACTAAAGCTTTCTACATCTTTTCACGACCCACTAAGACTCATTTTGCGACCCATAGTTTCGGAACCGCTGTGTTAGAACCAATCTGTATCAGTATTAGCATACCCACAAAATTAACTTTTCTTTTACAATAAAGCAGTAATTTTAGCATTAAAAAGGTACCGTAAAGCGGGGTGACTATGACCCATTTTTGGTCTTTCAGTCAAAATATCTCGAATATTAAAAATCTATGAATTGCTATTCCGGGTCCAAACTATGCATTTTAGAGGGGGTATACGTCGTGCATAATCATTGAACCAAAATATTTGTTTTTTCTATATTATTTTTTTTAATTTACGGTGGGCCAAAGTCACCAGCAATTTCGGTACCACTTTGGCCCAGTGCCTATTTCTCCCCATAAATTAAGCT